TAATGCGAAAGATTGTTAATCAATTGAATTCGTTATTTAATTAATTCTATCGCTTCTTGCCTATAATTGTGAATGATGTAAAATTTGAAATTAAACCATCATATATAAACAAACCACGCTTCTTGCTAACAAAACATCCCTACGATAACCAAGTTCTGATATATATTGATAGTTCGAGTTGCATCTTCGGAAAGTGAATGAGGGGGAGACTGAGAGGGGGATAAATTACGACGTATATGTATTTGTGCGCGACCGATTAGTTAATCTCGCTGCCGGGGATAAGGATGAACATGTAAAACGCCGCGGGCGCTAGATTCGGGGTAAGTCTCTTGGCATATAATGTATATGTAACCTCGCTACGGTATATGCATTTAGAATTAAATCATGCGGCGTGATTGGATCAGGCAGTGTAAGAGAACCATGACAGTTAGCGTGTTATACGGCCGCGAGAAAACCTTTGGGACGTCAATACCAGAATATAGTTCCGGAATCGGCAAAATGTCAGCTCCTAATGGTACATTAACCTCAGATCTGTCAAGTTACTCATACGGCAGTTAAATCAGGACGAAAAAACCGTTTTTTTTAACTTTGAGTCTTTATCTCTTCTGGAAGAATGGAACTGAACAAATGTATATATTTTTTGCAATTTATATTTATTGCAGCTATAACAATAACCGATGGTGCGAAAATGTATGACGCCTAAAGCTCCACGTTATTAAAATGAAATTGATTAATAAATTTACAATTACTTACTATTATTATCATTAATATAATTATAATTATATCATTATTAATAATATTAGTATTATTATTTATGAAAATAATTATTGTTAGTATTAGAATTAGTATTGTGTTAGAAAGAGAGAGAGAGAGAGAAGGATTATTATAATATCTCATATTTTCTTCGTTTTTTTCATATTAAATATTATTTTTCAACATTGATATATTTCGATTAACTGTTTAAATACTATCTTGTAATAATAGGAAAATATTCATATATGCGGTATGTCTGGCATCGAGCCAATCACACAAAAAGACTTCTTCTTCCGCAAACTTGAGCTTTTCCCTCTCAACCGTTACACTGACGACTTCCGTAGACTCCCGGGAGTAAAAGTTTTTGAACCGTCGCACGCTAATCAGGATCCTTGCCCCTATCGCGAGCCATCCCGGACTTTATACCCTTATTCCAAGAGTTTGAGTGACTTCTCGACAGTTTCATCGTTGAAGTAATGCGAATCACTACTTTGATTCGTCATCTCGTTGGCTACGCCTTGGTTATATAACTTACAAAGCTTATTTTTTTTTCAGCGGTATGACAGATACAAAATATAAATGTCAAATTCTTTTTTTCTCTTTTCCTGCAAGTCTGTATCTTTAACAACCACTGCTACATTTAGCACAATTGTCAATATCGAACGCTAACCGCAGTCAGCCACTGTCTGAACAACGATAAAGTTGTCCTCGTCCTCGATCGAATAAATCCCTATATTTAAATAGTCGATATGTCTAAATGAATTGCACATAATATACACCGGAATAAAAAAATTATAAGTTTTATGTCGGGAATACGTTTACCTTCGAACCCTCTTTTGGTAATCGATACAGCACATCATGATGCGTTCGCGCATAACAGCAGTCTGTAAAGTTTTCCGCTCAACTTTCCTGAGCTCTACTCCCCCTGCATTCATTTATTTATACATATCCATGTTTGCGGCTAGCACGAAAGAGTCGATGCGAACGTTTCTATTCATCTGATATATTCGGTGAAATTATGTGGAAACCACGACTCAATCGTTATATACGGAGGTAAGCGCTTCTCCTACGCTTTACCGCATTTCGACATTTTGATATATGTATATACGAATGAAGCAATGGAAGTGAGAGGGGGAGGAGAAAGAGGTAACTGCGAAACCCGATGTACATTCTAATATTAACGGGAAGCTCTCTCCATTAATATCGCGCGTGTGGCATCACAACGATACAGGTTTCGATCATAATAAAATTTCAACCACGTTTCGACTTTTTGGAAAAAAATACAGGAAAAAGGGGAGAAGAGGGGGGGGAGGGAAGAGGCAGGCGAAAAAGAGTCGGCCATATTTCACCGTCATCCGCTTTTCTCTCATAAAATTCGTAACCCGTCCAACGTGGCCAAAGGGCCCGACAGATTCATCAGCGGTTCGATTTATTTTTTCCGCCGAGTTCTCTCCGATCGACCATCATCGGTCGTTCATGATGATTTCCCGTTTTCGCATCCCTTCTACCCCTTCGTCTCTCCTCACCTTAGGAAATATCGCCGGATCGTTGCGCGGAAAGTGAGAAACTCGTTTTCCGAACCACTGTAATAAATTGCGGCAGCCGGCAGTCAGTGTATGTCAGTGTACCGGACTGAAATAAGAGGAAGGAGGGGTAAAAGTCACGCCACGAAAACCGACAGCAAAACGGTGTAAAGCAACGCGAACGTTGAAGTGGCAGCAGTCTTGAATCACGCGGGTCTCTCTTCTCTATACGTACGGCTTTAGCCTTTCTTGGTGTACCGTTTGACAAGCAAGTCTTTCTGCCATTGATATTTCTTGCCCCCTCGAGAATGCGACGTAGCGTATTATGATATACACACGCGCGTATACCATACGAATTTTATAGAAAAGCTCGCGTAAATCTAGATTGGAGTTTTAGAGACATCTTCTTCTCCGACCCACGCGTTATCATCCCTCGATCCGAATCTATCGATCTGTGCTGGTGCTTCTGAATCTCGTTCTCTTCCTTCTTTTCTGTCCCCCTTGTTATATCGTTCCTGTCGTTTTTTCATAATCTATCTATAATTTATAGGGCCGCTTGTGTTTTATGAATTTCCAGACTATATAGAGTTAATATTAAGAGACTAAAATTTCCTTCTTCCATTAATATCGAAAACAAATATCGAAACTGATATAAAAATACAGTTTATATATTATATTTTTTCATCTTTACAATAATAAAATCAATTGATACAAATATCATTGTAACGCACCTATACATTATTTTTCAATAATATCGTATTATTACAAAACAATTTAGAAATTTATTGTCTTAAATTAATCAAATTTGTAAATATGATACATATTTATAGAGGAAATTACAAAAAAGAAGTAACATCTATCTGAAATTACAATCATATACAATTATGTAATCTTGTTTGCAACTTACATTCTTTACATTTTTTTATATAATATTTCTTTTAATGTTTAATATTTGATTTTAAATTTTAATATTTGATTTTATGACTTAATAGCATCATTAATATTAATATCATATGCGTTATAAAAGAAAAATCTCGTTATTAACTTCCGTAATAATGCTGTCATTCAAAAATATAATAGCGGTAATACTCGAATATTCGGTACACCAATATTATGAAAATTTATTTAATAAATGTCCAATAGCCGGTATAATTTAAGCGAGCATCGCGATTTTATATAAAAATAGAGATGCCACAATACGATAGCTGGCAAAATTACTTTAATATTCGGTCTCTGCCTGAAATAATATTGCACGGGAATATATTAAGTGCAACGTTGATTCGCGTTTTGCCGTTAATGCACCGTTCTCTTTAGACATCGCGCATCCATCACTCAGCACAAACACTCTTTGGAAGAGTATGTAATTTCACTCTCGGTGTTCGCCTCCCTATCTTCGTTGGATCAACGAAGCTTTCGCGAATTTAGCCCATAGGGACCCGTCGAAGGACCAGGCCGAGGACCATCATTGCGCACCCTAACATCCGTGTATCCCTATCTCATTACCTGGCACAGAAGCGCGATGTACCAAAGACCTTTCCCTCTCTCTCGCTCCGGTTAACGACGTCAAACGTTAACCACCGCAGACACGCTCGTATCTTACGCGGTCGTACGGGAATCATAAGATCCGAGCGTCGACGGAAATACGTTTGGGAAATTAAGGTGCGAAATTAATATACCAGGCCAGGACGGCGGTCTTCTCGCGGTCGATACGCGCGGTCACCCGCGGGTTTCGTATTCATCCGCAGCCAGTTACTCCCTAAGGCTGCCCCCGGGACATCTTTCCCCGACGATGGCCCGTCGGCTAACGATGACGAATTGCGTATGTGTACTGATAAATTATTCGTTGGCGGCAAATTTTTTACGTCCGGGAATGAACTGTACGCACGAAATTAATTCCTTTTATTGCGAGCTTTGGGCGGAAAATATCGCGACAGATGGATCATCGCGACGATTAATTAAGGCTCGTCCCGGCGACTGTGATAAATAGTTTGCGTAACGGGATTATTAAGATATCTCGGTGAATTTCGGGCCGAACTTGTAGCGCGATGTAATTAACGCACTCCCGTCATCCCGCTGCCTGTAAATAATTTCGATTTAATGGCTTCCCACATCTCGTCGAGTAAAACAGGCTCGGTCTCACCGCGAAAGTACACGGAGCGAAACTTTAAGGAAGTAATTTCGACATTAATCATGTCGAGCCATCGATAAGCCAATAGCCGGTGAAAGCAGTTTCGTCCGAGAGAGGATTGCTATGAATTCTCGAATTAATTTGCGAGCGGCCAATTGTTTTTGCGAGCCGGCACAAGCCGCCGGGCATGAACTTCTCGGCTTTGCCATAAGCCGCGCTAATTTCAGCATTGTATTCGCTTTAAGTCACAGGATCGCAGACGTTCCCGAAGCACAGAGAACTGCGGTAATCTGTGTACGGTGGGACTTGCGAACACCTGTTCCATTTCAACATACCGAGTGTAATTAGTCAATTAGTTTACTTCGCGAGCATTATACGAACTATAGCATATTAAGCATATTAGCGTGCAAATTTAACGGGGATGCCTTTCGTTAAACTTTGTATCGAATTTCATGATGCACTTGTTCGTATGACGCGACAAATTCGTATCAATTTGTGCCGATCACTCAAATCCACATGCCCGATTAATCTCATTTTTATTGTTATATATTGTTTTAGAAAATGATATATATCTCTAAAAAACGTTCGCATTTCAGCTGTTCCAGAGGAGATTACTTGAAGCTATTTTTACATCTGGAAGGCAAAGGTGTTTCCGAGTACACTCCTTGGTCTGGCGTACTTTGCGGAGAGCTGCGTGACATCCCGCAAGTTCTCTACAGCTCAAGATCGAGGCTTATTCTGGAGTTTCATACTGGAAGTTCACCATCTAATGCAACCGGCTTTTCCGGCATTTTTCGTTTCATCGATAGACGTAAGTTAAAATTCTTGCATGTAAATTTGACCTCCCAAACTATTAATAAATTTTTAAATCTAACGATAAATATTATAATAATTATTTGTAAAGATATCACTAAAAAAATTGCGAGAAAGTTAATGTATACATGTATAAAAAAAGTTTTTCAATCACTTTGTTCAATCACTCGATATCTATCGATTATCAGAAATCGACGTTTTCAGTGAATCAAAACGTCACATGCTCTCGAAGAGTTTAGAACGAGGAATAAACTGAATTAAGACTCATGGCATTTTAAACGAAAACCTTTTCGTTTCTCCATCTGAAGTGGAAAACTCGTTTGACTCGAAAGAGAGAGAAAAAGAGAGAGAGAGAGAGAAAGAGAGACAAAGCTCATTCAACCTTCACTTATTGAGCTGCTGCATTTATCGAGAAATTTTAAATCTTGTTGTATGGAACTTTTTCGAATTCCTTTCGAATGCAAAGTCGCTTGATCGAAAAATTATTTCCAAGTTATCAGAAGATCACTACGAGTAGCCTGATAACGTGTCAATGTGAATGACGCTAATATACGTCGTATAACATAATATGCATACACAAAATGCAAACTCAGGAAATGAGACCGTGAAAATCGCAAAACAGAGTTTTCCGTAACTCGCATAAACTCGCGTGGTAAAGTTAATAAAATTTTTCTTCGTAATAATCTGCGATTTCGCGAAATTAAAGCCGCTAAAATTTTTTTAGGTTCATACGACTGATCTCAAATTTTGCGGATTTTAAGCCGACGCTTCGTTAGTAAGCGTTTCACGCAACATACCTGTCCAACACATGCTTTAAACACATGTTGTCCCGCGAACTTTTTATTTTACTCACGTGTATGCAGTCGGCTTACGTATGCCAGGAATAACAGTGACATAATTCTGCCATAGCGCGGGTGAGAGTTCCCTCTACAATTCGGAATCGTACTATTTTTTTGTTCCGCAGCACCGGCTACGAATCCCCTTTATGTTCCTGCACTTTTTTCGTGTGTGAAAAATTCTGCGTACTCCCCATAATAAAAAAAAAAATGCCAGATCTCTATTCGTGATATACCTATGCCAGAATTTACGCGTATCTGGCTTTATAGTGTCAATCTCTGATCGACTGTAGATCATTATTTTGCAATGTATCTCCTTTTGACAGTTTAACTCGACGCAATAAATAATAGCGGATGAGATTGGCAAAAGTTAAACGAAGTAATAAAATCGATGACTAATAGCTAACTTATTGCGGTCGATATTATCTAGACAATTTTTATATCGTGTCTCGATACCGCCGATAATCAAATAAATGTATACATGATTCAATGTAATATATAATTGTCAGAGCGAACTGTTTAATTATTGTAAATTCAATCAATATTCAATTCTATAATAAGTTTTATAGTTTATCGGTGTGCTATCAAAGTTTGCGACTAAATAAATGGAATATAAGCTCTTGACATATCGCACACATAAGAAAAATACACTTGCGTCATCCCTACTACCTGGGAAACGTCACGAATCCATTTTGTTCGATCCATCATCCGGCGAACACGTCGTCGTCGTATAAGAGGGAAAAATGATGCTATCGGCAAAAGGCATGACTCTTTTTCTTCGGCACGTCTCACGTTCAAACTGTTTTTAGTGTCTTCTTTGCAGCTGTTGGTTGCATTTTTATTTTTCTCACCATTATTTTCCAACGAATAATGAAGTAGTTTTCCCACAAATTAACATATCTTGTAATTATCTGTATTTAAGATAATTACATGTAGTACGTAGATTAAATACATAGATTATAAGCGTAATTGTTCTACCACTTCGCGCAGTTTTAATCATACGAAGAATATAAAAAAAAACTTCAAAAAATGGGAATATATTACTCGTATTACAATTTATTTATTATAATGCGTAAAACTTTCAGTTTTTCAAACGTTAATCTTTGCAATATATTACCTATTGGATTATACAGATATATATCAGGAATATAACAAAACTGAAAGAAGATTCATTTTTTAAACGTTGTTATAAAGAACTTTATATAATTGGTATATATGGAAAGATGCAGCTAATATTATGATTAAGCAGCTAATATTATGTAACATCATGATTAGAGTAGGATGATATGTATTAAAAAAAAGTCAAATATAATTAGTTTTACGTGTAATAATTTTTAAAGAGTTTTATCAAATTAATAGTTTCTGATTATGAAACGTTCTCATTCACAAAAATTTGCTCTGTAAGAAATTTTAAAAATATAAACTTTCGATTCTTCGATATTCATAGTCATATAGCTATATGCTATCATTTCTTCGCCTTAATATGTTTTTTTAAATTTAAACTATATAATAGCAATATATATTTTTTATTAAGAATATAGTATAATAAAATTAAGGTAGCGGTTACGTCATCGTCACAGGATAAATCATTTATTACGCTTCTTCGCCTACGGCTTCAATCTCGCCCAAATCCGCCAATTAATGAGAAAATTGCAAAGGCGTTCACGTCTCTCGTCACGATTGCTAAAAATATCTCGCTCCCACGCTTCTCAGAGATTACGAAGGATATTCCTGTTTCGTTAAACAATTACCGGAAGGTTAATACGGAGTTTGACGAGCAAGTTATTGCGCGCCGTGTTATTTTATTTAAAAAATATTAAATAATTCATTTTTTCACATCGTCCGATCCGAAATAAAAAAAAAATAATTTCAAAGTTTAACAATAGAATATATATAGAGAGAAATATCAATGACTATCCGAACAATGCGCAAACTTATGATAGGAGAATAATGATATCTCTCAGGCTCTAGTTACCGGATCTAGTAAACTTATAGGCAAAATTCTAATGAGTCTGAAATCGGCGCTTATCGTCGTTGATAAAACGTGCCATGATAGCTTGAGAGACAGAGAGACAGAAAGAGAGAAAGAAAGAGAAGAAATATAGAGTAAGTCGGAAAGTCCTTCGGCTATTTGCGCGATATTGATTATAAAGTGGAAGATTTAGTCTAGACTATTTTCAAGTTCCTAGCGACGCCAAGCTAATTACTCGAAAAGCACCGGGCCTGCTCCAAGATATCGACTCCAAATCGATATTCCGTTATCAGAATCCATTTTATGTCTTCCGGCAATTAGACCGCATCGCGCTAATACATATTTCGCTATTCGCTGATCGTGAACGTCTTTATTAAGAAAGACCGCGCGATTAGTAAATTTAATGATACCAAATTTCCAGTTGTTTCATTAAAATTTATTGTTGAGACTCTATGCGATTATCGCGGTAAAAATCTCTTAAATAAAAACAAAACTTGATTTTGTTTTTATTTAAGAGATTTTACCGCGATATAAAATACTTCACGTGTATCTCTTGATGTTTGCAAGTTTATCGATAATTTGATAAAATTTCCGATAATATTTTTGACAATTTCATAGAGCTAAAAACTACTTCTGATCTCTCTCTATACAATCTACTATCTAACCGTGGGTATTTTCCAGTTGCTCGTTCCTTCGAGACATCTGATACGCGCGAAAAGTACTTAAAACTCGTAAAGTTTTTCAGAGAGTCGAGAGTTAACGTAAATCTTACCTTACGGAAAGCAAGCTGAGTAGCGAGAGAGAGAAGAAGGTACGAAACTTTGACTCGGGATGTCTATCCATTTCACGGCCCCGTAAACAATTTCGGGTGTCATTACGAGTTTTTATCGTAACGAGTACCTGATGGTAGAGAAACTTAATGAAAGCGGAAAAAAAGAAAAACTTGGTTTAATGCAAAATATATAGATCATATTTCGGCCGTAGATTATAAAGCTTATGCGAGATATTCGTTATATGTAACTTGAAGCAATTTATTTTAAAGATATAAAATATCGCGCTTTCAAGATTGTCAACTAAATACTTTTAGCAAGGGAGTATTTTGGATATGAATCGGCCACTATGTTTTTTCAATAATAATCAGTATTTCTTGCAAGTCTTGATTATTTTCTACATCGCTTTAGTTTTTTTTCGCGCGCCCAAATTATTTGTTTATTTGCTATTAAATAAATCATATCTAAATTTATATATCACGTAACTAAAATGCGTATAGTTCATTCGACAATTTCGCAAGAGATTAATATTAAAAGAATAATATTACGAGTTTAAATTCAATCATTTGAATCATTGAAGGCATCCAGAATTTCAATGAAAGAGAGAGAATTTGCGTGGTTCTAAGCTAAAGTGCTCATTCCCGTGTCTTCCCTTCCGTTAAACGTAGCATCGCGATTCGACCGAACCTAGTGTAATTTTAAAACAAACTTTGATAATGTATTATCCGCGTAATACGCTCGCGCGAACATTATTGCTGCAGAGTTATACTTATTATAGGCCGCGCCGAAATGCTGTAGCGAGAGCTCAAACATGAGAGAAGAGTGCGTGACGCGAAATGTGGTGTATCTCGTTTCAATCCCTGCTATTGTCCGAAGCCATATTGCAGTAACGCAAACAAACAAACGTATCGCATACCGGAACTCAATCGCTCCAATTGCCTTAATTTGTACCGAGGCAGATAGATTGATAATGAATCGCAAGCGTCATTACGCAATTAATTTACGAAATTCAATTGTGCGCGCGCGTGGGAATAACGGGCGTGGAATCGCATGGCTTGGATTTTCGTCGCATCCCGATGAAAATTACGGAACAGTAGCGTTGCGCAAGTTTGATCAGCCGTAACAACGTAAACAAATATTGACACGCTCGTGCAAACGGTTACAGTTTGAAAAACGCAAAAATCTCAGCCGCGTATAGGTTTATTCGAATGTTGTTTGCCTGCGATACTAGGTCGGCTCCGAATGAATGATCGAACGACGAGCGAAATTAATTTTAGACGAAAACATTCGAAAGCTGTAATTATAATGACGTGAACTTTGAATAAATGTGTCGATGAGAAATGCTAAATAATTAACTTTATAAATATTTACTTTATATAATTAGAGCACATGCACACGTTTCCGCTACAACTAACTCGGA